GTTGGACCGGACCGGGCTGGCGGCGGCCCGGTATTGTGGCCACCGCCGAAGGACCTTATCCCTCGGAGGCGGAAGCCGGGGCCGAAGGCCTCTATGTGGCTGTGGAGCGCTGCCCTCTTTGCAACAGCACGCGCCGCCGCTTGACCTGCGCCAAGTGCGTCCGCAGCGGCGACTTCGTTTTCTTCGATGGCCGCGATTCTGAGCGGTGGGTGCCTGACAGGACAGGGGTGGGCTGGGGCCTGGGTTGTTGGCTTTATTTCTTTGCCGGTCTGTCCCGAGGGCAGGATTAAATGTATCAAACGCAAAGGTTTTAGAATTCCCTACTAGTCCTTTAGATGGGTTGGTTAAACGTTCCTCTCACGTTTCTGGGCGACAAGCACTGGTGCTAATTTGGCTCTTCTTGGTCGCGATGCACATCACACTGTATTACAGACCAACCACTTTTTATCGTTTGATATGAACTCAACCTGTGTAGCTAGTTTATGCTGTAGTGGATCATTGAAGTGAACAAATTGGGTTAATTAAATTATCTATAGTTAAAGTAACTATGGGCAAGTGTGACTTGCAATCCCATCCCCTGAGTTTATAATGGAACTCAAGTCTTGTCAAGCATTTTTATAGCTAATTAAAGCCTTCATGCACTGAGATAATGTATCTTTGAAAGCCAATTGCAAGGGGTTTATTTCTCAAGTCCTGCTTGTGAGAAGGACTTGAGAATGAATGAATGAAAGATTTGGTTAGACACCATGAGAGCAGGTTATGAAACTAGATAGACCAGAAATGGACAATCTGTATTTGCCATATGTTTAATTCCAACCTTCAGTAGTCAGTACAATCAGTGGTCAGAGATGATGCAAGCAGGAGCCTTAATTCTCCATAATGTTCCTGAAAGAGGATTGGCTGGGTTGCCAGTTTACTTGCTTCAAAATTAAAATATTTTTCCATTTTGCTTCATTTATTTTGAGGCGAGAGGATGCTTAGAACAGGATGTAAGACTCCATATATAATGCTAGGTGAGCACCCACAAATTACATTCACACAATATGCTAGACTAAAATGTGAATGGCTAGTTGAGTCTCAGTAAATATGTTCACATAATAAACTGAACCACAAATTAGCCAGGTCTTTTGTGAATCCTGCTCATTTGAGTACATTTACTGAAGCTGTATTTGCACAGCAGAGTAAGTTAAGTTGTGGTTGGCTGTTTGGTGAACCATTTAAATATGTTTCAGTGTGTATTCTGAAGTAAGGCAACTGAATTAATTCATGGAACCTTGGTTAAATATATTATAGATTAGTATGTTGTATAAACAGATTGGGGTTAGTTGAATAAACCATGGTTAGTGGGTTCAATAAATCTGAGTTCTTCAATGTTTTGGCAATTTACTCTTGGCAGTCAAGTTATGTGCTTTCTTGTCTTCCTTAAAGAGTGGAATTCGCTATCGTGGGATGTCAACTGGTTTATTATGGCAGGGAATGAGGTGGGCCACCCTCAGAGATTGGAAATCTTAGACTTTTTTTAATCCCCAGACATCATCTTGGGAGCTGGGTAATGGGGTTACAGAGTACCTTGGGTTCTGAATGATGCTCTTAAATGTCAGATCTGACTGCAATGGATATATCCTCATCCATGATTTCATTAGGGATGAGGAGGCAGACGTGGCATGTATCGCTGAGACCTGGATGAGTAAAGAGGAGGGTTCTTCTCTTGGAGATCTGCCCATCTGGCTTTCAGATCTTGCATCAACCATGACCCCAAGATAGAGGAGATAGAGTGAACATTATCATCTGGGAGATTCTCCGGGTCACCAGAGGCACTGTTCCATAGATAACTGGATGTAAGGCACTATTTGTGAGGTTGTGCTGGAGGGACAAGATAGGGTGCTACTGTTGTTCCAACTTTGTTGCTGCACAGCTCAATCTCATCGTAGGATTGGTGTTGGAATTCCAATGATGTTTTGTTCTGAGGGACTTTAACTTACCTTCCTGGGGTGGGAAGAGAAGCTTGTGAATTCTTAACCAACATGACAATCATGAGCTTGTCCCAGATGATCCACAGAGGCAACTACACATTAGATCTGTTTTGTGTCTTGGAACAGCTGAAATAAGATATGAGGATGGAGAACGTTTCCATTATCCCCTTGTCATGCTTCACTCATGACACCGATTAAATCCTGTTGAATTTCAAACAGCACTTGGGGAGTTCTCCAAAGCCTTGGGGGGTGTTCTGTCAAGTGCCTGGTTGACCTCTAGAATAAGAGGGTAGAGGCACCATTTAACAGGATTGTTCTTGAAGTTGAAGATCCATGGGGGAGTTCCTTGGTGTAATGGTGGTTCCAGGATATAAAACAACAGAAGAGATGCTTAGAGTAACAGTGGAGTCAGACAAAGAATGACTAAACATGTGACTAAACAAGGTAAGAGCTCGTGTCTGAACCTATACCATGATGGTAAGAGTGGTGAAGCAAGCTTACTTCTTTTCCTCTGATTACATCTCTGAATAGCTGCCCAACAACATTTAAAATGACTTGGTCACTGTTGGGGAAAACCATATTGGAAGATGGTTTGCTGGGCTGTTGTGATGAATTTGCTAAGCATCTGGAGAATAAAATTGCTCGTATTCACTTGGACTTTGGTTAGGTAATTCCTGCAGAGATGATAGAAGCTTTGTCTTGAGTTATCTGGGATTAATTTGAGCCTGTGGTTCCTGAGGAAGTGGACAGGGTCCTCTGTGTTGTTAGCACTATCATATATGGATTAGTTCTCTGCTCTACTTTATGTGTGAAAGCAACTGGGGAGGTGACAGGATGCTGGATGCAGTCAGTGGTAAATGCATCCTTGAGTAAAAAGTGATGCCTCTTGCTTTGAAAGTGGTGACGGGTGTTCCTTCTTCAAGAAACCATTGCTCAACTTAGCTATTTTAGACAATTGTTGATTGGTCTCCAAATTTTCCCTTTTTAGGGAAGCTTCTCGAGAACGTGATTGGATCACAGTTACAGAGAACCATGGAGGAAATGTTTTATCTGGTCCCTTTTCAGTCAGGATTCAATCCTAGGTATGGGACTGAAATTGCACCAGTTACTCTTTGTGGCATCAAAATAGAGGGAGTGCAACTATTCTAGTACTAGTAGCCTCAGATACATCTAAGAGCCCACAATGACTTGATGGCACATAAGCAGTCAATCCTCTTGGACCAGCTGTGAAAATTAGGAGTGATAGGCATTGTTCTTTAGTGGTTTAGTGTTCTTTCTTCCTTCCAGTTCCAGTCAGTACTGATGGGTGGAGAGAGGTCAAGCTGTCAGCCACTCCACTGTGCTTTCTGCAAGCCTCAGTTCTCTCTCCGTTGCATTCAGCATCTACATGGGGCCACTATAAGAGATCATCTGCCAGTACAGGGCATGATATCAGTAATATGGTGATGAAACTCAGTTATACATCTCCAGGCTAGGCCGGGCAGCAGTGGAGGTCCTGACCCGCTACTGGAAGGCTTTCAGGATCTAGGTGGGAAGCACCCAGACAGACCAACCACCCAGGCTCCACAAACACCTTAGGCAAGGCCTAGAAGAACAGCCAGGTTCTAATGCCTTGTGGAAGACTTGTGGAATGTCATTGCCACCACCAACACTGACTGATGCTGAGTGCTAAGAAAGGAGAAGAGTCACCATAACACAGTTTTAATCTTACTATGTTAAAATTTAAGCCACTCAGGATTTCTGGAAATGGAGTGTCAGATAAGTTGTTGTAATTAATAAATAAATAAATAAATCTCCAATATTATAGGCATCGTTAATCTGCATACTGGACTAATGAGAGGAAGGTACTGCTACCTACTTTTAGGTTTCCTGATAACATCTAATTGGCTGCTTTGAGACAGATTGCTGGGGAAGATGAGGGTTTGCATAAAGAGAGCAGGGCTGTCTTGCATCTTAACACCAAGAACTATAGTTAACTTTCTGCAATATACCCTGATTATGAAACAGGAACAGAAGTTTATATTTTAAATAAGAGTTGGGGGGGATTGTAGGATTATCTAGTCAGTCTGCCTGATTGACACAGGAAACCTGGAATTTAGATTATTCCCAAAGGTTATCTATTTTCTTGAAGTTTCCACCAAGAGAAAGTACCCTCCAGGTAGTCCTCAGTTTAAGAATGAGTTCTGTTCCCAAGGTCTATCCTTAAGTTGAATTTGTATGTAAACTGGAACAGTATTATTGTATAATACTGTATAAGTAGCATTGTGTATTTAACTCAAATCATGTATTTAACTCAAATCATTGTGTGTTTAACTCAAATCATTGTGTGTTTAACTCAAATCATTGTGTGTTTAACTACAATTTTGCTACAATAGGTTCCATTCTTAACTATGGGTCATCTGTAAACTGGGCGTTCTTAACCCGGGGACTACCTATATCTCATAGGTAATTGGCTTCAGTGTTAAACTGTTGTTATCTTCAAGAGGTTTCTCCTAAAGTTTGAAATTTGCTGTCCTGTAACTAAACATGTTAGTTGTAGTTCTATTCTCTGAGCAGAATACAAACTTTTTTTAAAAAATCAAGACGTTATGCTGAGATAACTGATAAATTTCTATAGGCGTATTAAGCTGGTGCAAGGGCCAAACAACTTCTTTGCATATCTGTTTATCTAAGCTGAAATAGGATTTTTTAAAAATAGTTGTTGACCTAAGTTTAGGTTTGTTGGGTTGGTAACATGAGCTACTAGATTTTTTACAGGCAGCTGCCTTGTACATCCAATTCTGAGTAAGTCAGGGATCCATAGTAAGAGTATTTGCATTTGAAACAGAAGTTGCTAATTTCAGTTTGTCACATTTTGAATATTTAAAGCATTTATATCCCATTCTTTAGCCTGAAAGACTCCCAGGGAAGCTTACTGGATAAAAACAAAGCAGTTCCTGCCCACAAATTTCGAGTGTAAAAAAAAAAAAGCAACATAGAAGAAAAAGGTCATACAGAAAAGAAAAACACTTTAGACACCCATTTTTATTGTTTCATAGTTTTTATAATGGTCAGCTATGATGGAAATGAGCTGTTCAGAATGACCTAGATGACGTTCCAGTTATTGAGTGGCTCCTGATAACTAGCAGGTGGTCACAGAGATGATGACAGTTCCCCTTTGCTGCTGCTTCTCTTCCTTGCAGAGTGATGGGTTCAGACAGCTTCTGTGGGGAGGAAGCTCCAGCCTATCTAGCAATGGTAGCAGGGAAGAGAGGGAGCAATTCCTGTGAGTTCTAGTCCTGCCTTAGGCATGAAAGCCAGCTGGATGACTTTGGGCCAATCACTCTCTCAGGCCATGACATCAGGCTCAGGTGACAAGCCGGTCAGTCAATTCCTGTTGAATTCGGTTGATCCAAAAAGCACCTGCAGGAAAATGCTAGGAAGGGGGGGGGGAGTCCTTGTTTAGCAACAGCTTTGTACAGCAACTGTTCGCAGTTACAACAGTGATGAAAAAGTAACTTTGCGACCAATCCTTGCACTTATGACCTTCACAGGTCTGTTAAGCAAAGGAAAGCTGAAGTAAAATCATAAGCACAGTCACGGTTTCACTTAGTGACTGCTTCTCTTAACAACTGAACTGCTGGTCCCAATTGTGATCACTAATTGAGGACTACCTATACTTTTAACTCCATCCAGCATATAGCCCGATAGTGCAGGTTTACTTACAAGTAAGTTTCCTTCAGTCCATTGGGTTCACTTCTAGGTCAGGATTGTGCCTATAGTTTCCCCACCAAGTTCTTTAAGTGTGGAAAGACTGTTTTCAAGCATTTTACAAACATACAATGGTTGTTTTAATTTAAGCCACCCAGAGTCATTTAGGAGTTGGGTGACCTGTAAAATAAATTAATAAGCAGACCTTTGTGAGGGATGGATTAGCATATACCTTTTCTATCTAATTGAGAATTTTTAACAGAAGTCAAATATCTCTGCTCTCTTACATATATAACTAGATTGACGGGATGCATGTTGGATTTTAGTTACTTATTACAAATACTTTCACCTTGTCCTTTTTGTTTATAAAGCTTCCAGAGTGACTGTCAATCACAGTAATGAAATGCAAGAATTAAATGACAAAATAAACAGCCAGCATCGAAAACAAACTGGCAGAAAGTCATTAAGCACTCTCCTTCACCTTGATTTTTGAAAGAGCCCTGTCTTCACTGTTTGGTGGAAAATATTGTCAGCAATGGGACCAGAAAATCTCAATTGAGGGAGCATTCCACAACAATAGGATGGTTATAGGTTTTTGGTTTTTTTTAAGTTTTGTATCTTTGTTTGCTATAACTGGAACTTGCAGGACCTGCTGGAAATTAGAAAAGATGAGCAATATCTTCTGTACATGTTTATGTAGAAATACCTCCCCTTGTTGAATGACTAGGTTGTGTTACATGATTGTTTTATTCAATTTACCCAATTTCCTAGGGTCACATGGACCATATACCAAACCCATGGACTGGGTTTGTGTAACAAACTGTACTAAGATGTGATTGGCTAATGGGTCAGTGTGTCATGTGAAAACAGCCAAAGAGTTACTTCCAGGAAATTCCATTAGGATTGTGAAGTCCTGTACTCATTAAGAGTAAACTCATCCCATTGAACATAGTGGATCTTACTTTTAAGTAAACGTGCATAGCCTTATTTGTACAAAGAAAATCATTATTGTTTTGTATTATGCAAATGTTAAATAAAAATACATGTTTTCCATCTAGGGTTTTAAATCAGATATGCTGGAATCTTTCCACCAGAATGAAGCAATCATCTTAGCTGCAGCTAAGCACAATAATTCCAAAGTTTCAGCCTATAAACTATCCTATTGATAGGGTAAGTTTATATTCAGGAATGGTAGTGAGATATAACCACCTATAGTAAACAGAAACTCTGTATAATGGTTTTTGTATAGTTTCTGTGAATGTCAAATTGGTCGTTTGTTATCAGAGACCTAGCTGAAGGTGTAATACCTGTTCCACCACATTTTTAAAGCTGTTATTTCAGTCTGTGTATATTTCAATTTGGAAAAGAATTAGTCAGTGAGAGACTAGTCATAGTGTCAAATCATATAATAATAAAGAAAGATGGAATAGCATCAATTTGGATACAAATTCTTTCTTGATGTCTCTAAAATTACATGAACAAGTGTTGAAAATATGAAAAGCTCCAAGAAGATACACTTATCTGTTGCCAAAAAAAGCCTCTCTTCATCTGAAAGAGTAATAGACCACTTTAAAAATATGTAGTAAAGAAATTACTGGTACAAAACCCAGTGCATGCCTGTACCACTAACCAATTTCCATAAATCAATCAGTAATAGGCTCAATACATAATTCATGTGCTGGTAAAATCAACTGCTTTAAACATATTTTAATTTAATATAATCACACATTATTAAAAAAAGTTATTCAACCATTTCTTTAAAAAAGTTTTGGAACTGCATCCCAAAGTTAAGAACTGGATCCAGTGACTTTGTTTCTTCAAAACATTATACACAAATGTTGAATCAGCATCCATGGTAGAGAACAGAATGTCTTAAATTGGTAGAACTTCCTGAATGTTGAGATGCTCTTAATCAGACAGGTTGTAAAGAACATAATGCCTAATCTACTGATGAAAGAAAAATATGCTTTAAAATGTTTTTGACAGTACCTAGAGCTCTTTTCCCCTCAGCTGTATGTATAAATACAGCAGAAGCAGAAGTTCAAAAAGGAAAAATAACCACTTTGCTGAGTGGCAGGTTTTAACATTTGGCTGTATGTGAATAGGAATCAGGGAAGTTTCTGTATATCTTACTGACTAATGGTACATAGCATAAACTTTTGTGATGTCCCAGATGTCTGATAGTTGAGGCTTAGTTTCTTCCTAGGTTGAAAATAAATACTTTCTTTTATAAAAAATAAACCTGCTTTTGGAAGGAGAGGGATGCTTCTGTGTAGGAATAATTATTGCCTATGTAGGAGTAATAATTGTAGTAATTATTAATACTTCATAAGTCAGTATGGAGTCAGTCTGTTTTAAGTATAGCTTTTAAGCAATAACAACTAGTGACAGTTCAGATTTACATGGAAGGTAATCTTCTTTACCATAGTGTTTTAACCATTACCCTGTTTAGGTCCTATGATTCTCTCCCACTTTTTCAATTAATAGTCTCATAGGCTTTTTCTCTTGTGGCACCCAGTATGTGTAACACCTTGTTCAAGGAAATTAGGTCTGAGCTGAGCTGGATTCTTTGGCAGAGAGCTTTCAGTTTATATATTGCGTAACTTTTCTTCCATTCTAATTCTTCTAGGTCTTGTGTTTAAGCTCTACACTTATTGCTTTTTTGTGTTTTATTTCTTTCTAAGACATTGTTTTTCCATAGTGTCATTGGTATGTGTTTTATTATTCCAGTTGTATGAGTTACCTTAAAGTTCCAATTCTATACCTAGTTGTATGGGAATGACTCAGTGGGATTTACTTCTGAGTAAGCTTGCATAGGAATATGTTATAAAACAGCTTTTTTCAGCCTGGTATCTCTCCTTTAGATGTGCTGCTCTGTATCTTCTATCATCCTCAGCTAGAATGGTTGACCTAATTGGCTTGAATTCAGAGGAGTTTAATATAATACATTGAAAGACAGGTACCAGCCTGAGAGAGTCTGCTATAAAAGTTTTAATATTCCTACATAAAATTGCCTTCCCAAATTCAGATCGGGCAAATCTATTTCATTGCATAAGTACAAACTGTGATGTTTCATAGTTTTGAACTGCTTATTCTCTGGCATAGCTTTTATTGATTTCAGTTCTCTAGCATGGTTATACTGATTTTGGTGATATCTAAGCTAAACAAGTTCACTACTCTTGCTTAAGAATTTTAATGGTGTCTCTCTAGTTTGGTGCCAAGATCAGCCTGTTGGCCACCAATGGATAATGATCTCCATTCTGCCACTTCTGTCTAACAAGACCAATGCCTATCCAGAAATTCCTCCAGCAGTCAGGGATCATTTTATTCATCTTGTTGCTTCTACAGTGGTTTGTTATTTATGAAGTGAATGGCATGTTCAACATGGCATATAAAAAGGTAAAGTGATAACACTCTAAGCAAGGATGGTCTAATATAGACCTTATTCATTGAGAAACACATTTAAATGTTACTCTTTTCTAGGTTTTCTGAAAAAAAAGAGAGACTAAAGCACCTTAAAAAGAAACAGCATGAATTCCAGTCTCAGTAAGTCCCGATTCATTCTATTTTACTTTATTTAAGTAGATGTCAATATATAATCAACTTAAATTATCTTAACCAACATGGAAGTGTATTTCTGGTTGCCAGTTAATCTTCTGTTTCTTTTTCACCTCCTCCACTTCTTGTAGGTTGTTAAAAGCTATGGAGGGGAAGCAGATAGCGGATCAGCTGGTGAGCATTGTAGAATTCTTTCATTTCATATTTCATTCCAACTAGTTTTCCACAGTGCTGTTATTCACAGTGCTACTTGCATGGGAAGGGAACTAATAGTTGGTTCTTCCCATGTATCTGTCCTATATGTGGGTGATGGTGCCCACATCATTGCAAATAATTACATTTCAGCCCGAATGAACAAATGCTTATTGTATCTGTAAAGGTTGGATGCTTAACTGCAAGACAGATTATATTCAAATAAATCTTTTTTTGGAATATCAGAATACTCCAATACTGTTCTGACTTTACCTAATGCTGATGCCACTCCAGGCATTCCAAAAGTGTTCAGAGCTCAAAATCGCCCTGCTTCAAATTTGCACTTGAAACACACTGGTTGGAGGTTGGAGCAATTTATTTCAAACTCAAATCATTTTGCACACCGTTATTAAATAGTACAATAGTCTGATATTTTTAAAAGGGATACCAGATGCCCTTAAGTTTGATGGGAGGTTTGTGCCTCTTGGAAGTGGCACTTGGTTCCCCTGATATGTCTCTGTCTGATATGGAACTTTTTGCCAAGGATTTGACCGCCATTGTTATTTGAGGATCAGTGCAGCTTGGCCTAGAGAAACTTCCTACTTCTGAGATGGTGCCTAAAGAACTAGCAGATAATTAAAATCTATAACTTCCACTAGATAGTTTGGTTGAAGAATCAATCATTCTGTTGTGTAACTCTCTTCTGAAATGAAGGTAAAACCAAAATGTGGGCAAAACCAAAACATAGATGGCTTACTTAATTATAATATCAAATTGAAAGGTAAATCTAGGGCATCCTAATTGCTTACTCTGTTTTCAGTGGCCTCAGGAACTTCTGGGTTGCTGATTAAAGCTGAATGCATTTGGGGATGGAGTCAAGGGATTCTAGCCAATCGTCGCATCTGTTATTTTGACCAAAATGATTTTTTTTAAAAGAATGCAAAAATAGTGTATTTTTTTACAAGTTCTAATAAATGTTCTTTTGCTTTCAGAGATGGAAAATAATGTCTTGCAAGATGAGAATTGAGCAACTGAAGCAAACAATATGCAAAGAAAATGAAGAAATAGCAAAAAGTAAATTATGATTGCAGAAGTCTTGGCAGATTCCTGTTATGGAATTCCTTTTCTATACCCATATCTTCTCTGATAATTGTACAACGTTAACCAGTTTCATTAGCTTACCAAAGCTGCTCTGATAAGAATAGTAATGGTGTGAAAGATTACCTTCGTATTTCTGATCTTCCTTTGCACTCCTGTGCTATGAAGTAGTATTGGACATATCCTAAGGCGTGTATTTAAATATATGTAAAATTGATTGGCCAAATGGGCCTACCTGGCATTTAGTGTACCTCAAATGTGCTTCCAGAATCCTTTGATACAAATGGAGGTTCTTTGGGCAACATGCAGCATGTTAATGGCTACCTGGCTTCATTTTTCTTTTGAAAGAGGCTCTCTTGGGGCCCAGAAGTTTTACTCGACATCAAGATAATGCTGGAAATAGTTGTTTTGCCTTACAGTATGTAGTTTCTGTTTTTCTTAAAAAAGTTTTTTAGTGTGAAAAGTTAGGTGGGACAAAGACACATTTGCATCCTAAGATGCTATGCTATGGATTTCAGATTTAATCCTGCTTGGAGATCCCAGACACTGCTTTATTTCACAGTCATTACATATTTCTACTAGTGATAGAATGTATGTTTGCTGATCTAAGTAATATAATTTACTTATACATTATCCATTGAGTAATCAACAGCACCATTTTGAGAGCAAGTTCCAAAGATTTACTGTTGCCTTTGTTATTTAGATTCTGAGTGGCTTCTTAAGATTAAAGATGAGAACCAGAAGCTTTATCGAAGGGCTCAGCGCCATCAGGAGAAAAAGGAGAAAATCCAGAGGCACAATCGCAGACTTGGAGAGTTGGTAGAGAAGAGAAACTATGACTTGAGAAGCCATCATGAGCATCTGGCAAATCTCCGGCGGTCACATGTCCTAGAATTAACCTCTGTTATATTCCCTATTGAGGAAGTGAAGATTGGCATGAGGTAGGCAGGGAGGAGTAGTGTGGCTGATGTGGTTAATCATATATTCAGGAAGTGGTTCACTTTCATGGTCTATATAGAAGAAATGATATTTTTTCATAATCAGTGGAGGAAAACCAGTCCCGTTAGAAGGCAATGAGAGTAGGAGATGCACAGAATGAGATGTTCTCTTCTATCTTTACTTGAAAATAAGCCTCATTGAGACCAATTGGATTTACTTAATTTGAAGTATCTATTAAATTTGATTTCTCCCTTTCTTATGGTAGTTTATCCTCATAACACCGTGAGATGGTTAGGCTGAGAATTAATTACTGGTGTAGGATATTAGGAAGCTTCAGTACCATACCATTACCAGCTAGCTTGCTTGCTTGCTTGCTTGATTTATTTATTTATTAAATTTGTCCCCCGCCCATCTCCCCCCAATGAGGGACTCTGGGCTGCTCACAACACATTAAAACAATAAATAAATGTACAATTAAAACCTATAACAATTCACATTTACAAAAATAAAAGGAAAAAAATCCAGCCGGCCGATGGTTCAAGGCAGCAACACCAGGCCACTAAGGAACTAGCCAACCCCACAATTGATAATCCCCCTCCTCACCCCAGGCCAGATGACAGAGCCAGGTCTTCAGATCCCTCCGAAGGGCAGGGGGTGAGGGGGCCAAGCTCACCTCCAG